CTGTCTTTCTGATTCTTCGCGTGCAATTGTTCTTCAAATGACAGTAGGATAAAATGTAAAAGACGCGCGAATAAACTCGAGAAAAGAGAATTTACCAAGAGTCGTTTATTACGCCAAAAAAACAGCGATAATCGTTCCCATTGCGCACGTGGCACGCGCTTGCAAGTGGTGGGGATTATTCGGCTCGAAGAGTGAACAAAAAATAACTCGATCGCGCATTTCTCCTTTATTATCCTTCGCGTCGATTCGTTATTACGTAATTCCTCGAACGGTTATATCGTCGCTTTATACCGATGTGATAAAATTAATTGTTGATACGATTACGCGTTGTACTTTTTCCTTTCGAGAATTATTATTTTCGTATATTATCCACGTGATGTATATATATATACTGATATCGTGGCTTGATTAACTATAATATTAATATCCATAACTCGTACTCGATCTCGAGAGTTCAACGAGTAAACCCCTCAAGCGGTAACACAGGTATTGCTTACATCCGCCGCGGGAAGTTATTCCTTGAGACGAGCCCTGCTCATCGAATATTATCCTCCTTCATCCCTGTTTACTTGTATATTTAACCACCAATCGTATACTCGTTCGAAAATTATACCGGCAACAACTACGCATAATTTATGTTACTCGTAATACGATAATATTAAATTTTGCATCGAAGTTGCCAATTTTTTGAATTCTATTCGATCTGTATTTTATTTTAGCATATTTTCACGTTGTGTAACCGTTCTTTTTTTATATTAAACTATCTTTGTATTTAACTATCTTTTGAGAAGCGAACGAATTTGGAATGTTATTCTTGTACGAGTTTAAGCCGATATCAAAATATCAAGTGTTAATTTTAGAAGAGAAAATTCTGTCGATGAGAGGATCAGTGGTTTCAAAAATTCAGGCGTCGAAATGAGAATCTCATAAACGAGCGAAGATGAAGATATCTCGAATCACAGTTTTCGAATATTTGAAATGTAGGTAAAGAGTTATAACGTATGGTTTCGATTACGAGAACAGATAAGGCTTGGATTTTAATATTCCGCAACCAATTAAGATTGCACTGATTAATGGAACTCTCGACACTCGCTAAATTCCTGAAAAATCGCGAAACAGAGGAAAATGTAAGGTGTTTTCGATTTTATTATTCCAATTAAAATTACCGATTTTAATCCTCGTCTTGATAAAATAACGACAGCGAATGAAAATCTTGAAACAAATGATCGATCAACTGTGACTCGTAAATTCTACTTAACCTATATTTCGTTTAGCGTATTTTCAGGTCGTCCTCTTATTCATTTCCTTTTCCATTAATTCAACTGTTTCTTTGAGAAGCGAACGAATTTAGATTATTATTCCTGCACGAGTTTAAGTCGAAACTGGAAACGAGAATCTCATAAACGAGCGGAATCCGTATCGAACGGAAATGGATTGAAAGGCAAGGCGGAGACGTATCTCGAATTACAGTTTTCGAACGTTTGGGTGGAACGTGGGTAAAGCGAAAAAATGACAGAATGAAAAGTTGCGGTATTTGGAAGTTTGTTCATCGAAACGAATATAATAATTCATTTTTGAATAGAATTATAAACTGTGACGAGAAGTGAATGCTGTACGACGATCGTGCAATGAAAATCCTAAAGAAATATTTAAAAAAGTTATTGTAAGAATAAAAAAGAGAATAATTCGTTATTCTTTCGCGAAACAGAAAAGAAATTGATTAGAAGAGACAAATCGCAGCATACTCACAGGATATTTTACCGACCGATCATCGCTCGTTTCGTTATTTATACTTGTTTTCAAAAAAATAAAAATAAAAATAAATAATAATTTGACGCCCGAGAAGAATTTTTTTATATTAAAATTAACTGAAGTTTTACAAAATATATTTCGATCGAATAAAGATCACTCTTCCGACCGAAAAGAAAAACAGGCAATTTCACGTGGTACGACCTAACCTAAAAATACATCGCGAATCGAAAGTAGAAAGAATTTTATCTTGCAAAATTTATATAACTTTTTTCTTTCAGATAAACAACACAAATATATATACGTATCTTATGCAAATACATACATTTTGAATAAACGCGATTCGAAAATAAATCCAAATTCGAGGCAAAATCGTGCACGTGTCGCGATGAGCAGGGCTTCCTTCTCGTTCGGCGAACAACAACGTTCGTACGGATTCGCGTTGAATGGAGGTTTTGTACATGCGAGAAGCCGTGCGTGGGTGGAAAAACGGTTGGAAGCTTCGAATCGTTCGAAGGTTTCAAACATTTTTTACGTCATTACCAAAAGTGGATAACGGTGCAAACGTTTCAGAAGATAAACCAATTCTTCCTTGATCAAGATTTCGATCGTCGAACGTCCGACTCGACAAAGTTTCGAGGCATTCGCGAAATTAGCCCACCGCTCGTATTCTTCGACTACGGATAACAGAGAGGATTGTTCGATTGGTGGATTGCGGAGAAGGATTTTAACGGATCGGTGGGGATAAGAGGGGTAAAAGCAATCTGATAATAGGGATAGAACTATTCACGTACGAATGCAATTGTTCCAGTAGAAGTTGTTAACCTTCTCGTTGGTTAAATTTTCTCCTTATTCTTCTTTTCTCCATTCACTTGCAATTGGAAGGCATCGATATTAATATTAACACTTTCGATAATTTTTATTAGCAAGATTCGCGAATATTTCATAATAACACACTCGTTTTATACTAAGTTAAACGACAACGCGAATGAACCGTAATAATAACGGCAACGCGTAGAGATAGAGACCACGTGACCGTTGCTAATGGCATACAACGCCTCTATCTGTCTGGATAGAAACTACAATGGTACAAGCTTTTAATGCAATTTCCACACTTATCGCGATAATAAAATATTCCAAGTATATGCCAACCGCGATAAATGTTCATCGTCAAATCCGCGAATATACACGAATATACGAATTCATTCGCCAAAGTGCTTTACGTATCTCCTCTCTATCGCGTTAAATAAAAGAAATATAAAAAAAAAAATAAGCTTGCTACATGCTATGAAAAGTAAGAAAAATTTACTCGCCGATAATCGTCGCGTATTATATACCCTTCTCGTACATATCTCGAAACTTGCTCGCGATGGAAAAAAAAAAAAAAAACAGTTATATCACTTTCGTGTTCGATACCGTAAAGTATAAACTTTTCACGAGGAAAAAGAAAAAAAAAAAGGAAAGAAAGAAAATTTCGCTTATCTCCGTCAATAATTCTTCGTCAGAATTTCGTTTCTTCTGACTGAATCCAACTGTCCACTACCCCCCCTCCTCGAGTATCATTGACTTGGCGCGTTAATTCAAGCGGTAAGAAAAAGGAAATGCAGAGAGAGAAAGAGAGAGAAGAAAAGAAAGATCTCAGTGTCACGCCATCTTACGCCCCCCCGTGGCGATGATTAGGACGATTAAAGAGGGGGAGCGATGGATCAAGGGAGGTGGTGCAAGTTGACGTTGCATCACGAAGCACTAACCGCATTATTTATGCCACCTCGTAAAACTTGTCGCGTGCCCGAACACGCTGCTCGCATGTCCCTTTTGTCGCCAACCTGCGCACACGGAGGGAGGCCACGGATTAAACGTTAAGCTAAACGTTCTAACCGGCACCCCTCTCTTCGTCCCAAAATTTTAACAATTTTTTTTCGATCGTGACGAAAGATTACGATTTTTTTTCTCTATCGAAGCTCTATTAACGATATACATAGAAATTCCTATTGGGAATATTTAAATAAGTGAGTAGTTGGGATAACGTATGATAGGGAGTTGTTCGATTTTCGAGCGTGGAATTAAGAGGCACGCGACGAGAACGAAGATAAAGTAAGAATGGATCCAGTGAAATATCGCATGCGTGCTGCGATATGCACACTGAAAGCCGAAAGAGGTCGCCACGTATATATATATATATA